GCACTTTATCACTCCCTCGACAATGAAAGCTGATCCAGAGAAGACCAAAGTCAGCCAGTAAGGAGAAGTGGCAAGCCCATCCACCCCAGGGCCCCAACTTCAAGAACTGTGGAAAAGGAGATAGAGTATAGCCCTCCAGAAGTGAGCCCTGCTCAGCTCATCACTCTGGTTTCACTCTAGTAAACAAAAAGAGTGTGTTTCAGTCAACTTTTGCCGCTTACAGAATCTCTATGGCAATCATCCATGAGCGTTTGTATCTCCCGCCCATGTCTGTGGGGTTGGCTGGGGTCAGCTGGTGTAGGGTGGGCCCACTGATTCCAGGCTCCCACTTGGGTTTGGATCCGCCCCACAGATCTTTCACTGGCCTGCAGCCAGCGGCTACCTGGGGCATGCTCTCCTTACCACAGTGCCAGAAGCTCAAGAGGACAAGGCATTTCCAGCCTTGCATCATCTCTGCTAACATTCTATCGGTCCAAGCTCGTCCCATGGCTAAGCTCAAAGTCAAGTGGTAGGGAAGTATGCTTCCCCACCATGTTGCAGGGATGGGGAAGTGCAACACTAGTAACCAGGAAGAGAGGGCCTGCGACCAACAATTTACTTTTTTTTAAGTTTATTTATTTTGAGAAAGAGAGATCGGGGGAGGGGCAGAGAGAGAGAGAGGGAGAGACAGAATCCCAAGCAGGCTCCAAGCTGTCAGCGCGGAGCCCCACATAGGGCTCAATCTCATGAACCGTGAGATCAGGACCTGAGCCGAAATCAGGAGTCGAACGCTTAACTGACTGAGCTACCCAGGCACCCTGGGACCAAAAATTTAATCTGCCACACAAGGTCGCCAAGGAACAGCCTTCCCCACAGGCTCAGCACTTTTAATTGATTTCCTTATCATAGCGAAAGCTCAATTGCAAGCACTGAAGCCAAATAAAATGGCCTTGACCATGATCACATGATCTCTCTGCGAGAAGGGAGGAGGGGAGGGGGAGGATATAGGAGAGCCCTAAACTCCACACGGAGGTCACACCTGGAACGGAGCAACGTCCAACAGAGGTTACCCCTCCCCCCCTCATTCTGTCCCTCAACAGTCTGGACCCAGTCCTCAGAAGGCCCAGCCCGGATAGTCATCATACCTGACAACTTGAGTTAGAGTTAAGTCTTCCTCCCTCCCACAGCAAAGGCCAGCTTCAGACAAGCCCCTGGTCTCTGACACAGCAGCATGGTCAGCACCTTCTCTCCTCCCGCACCTTGCCTACACGAACTCCTGAGGTCAGAGCATGTGGAGAGAGGAAAGGGAAGAAATATGGAAAGTTCTTTCTCGATGGCCATAAGATGGCTTTATGCTTTCTGGATCTCAAAGAGGCTTACTGCCATCATGGGCACTTTCAAAAGTCTCTTACAGACCGTCCCCTGCCACTGCCACTCCCCACCTCGCCGTCCCCACCCCCAGCTCCAGCTGTAGTCCCTGATCCCAGTATATGAATCCGAAGACACCTGCTCCCTCTTCAGCCCCTAGAAAGCTCACCTCCTCCTCCCCTCTGCTGTGGTCCCATCAGCTCCGGGCAGGCATTGGGGCAGGGTCTGAGACAATGGCACAGTGGCTCTTTTGATCACATGGCTCACCTCTAGTCATGGGGAACGTGCCACACATTCCCCATCCTGACAAGTACCTGGATCAGGCTGATGGCAATTCCCCAGGCCCACACTCCCACCATGAGTGGCTGATCTGACCCCTAAGGTCAACAAGTCTTTGACCTGCCCCCCCCCCATCAGAGGGAGGGCACCTGCTTCCCAATACAGCAGCAACACACCTGTCACTCTGCCTGCACCACCTCAAGCCAAAAGCCACAAATGCCTGTGCGCATCAGCCGCCGTTCAGGCTCTTTTCTTTCAGACAGACTCCCTGGCAAGACTCAAGGCCCTCGGGAAGAGCCTCTGGCCCAACACTGTAGGAACACTGATGTTGCCACTCATTGGCCCTGGTCAGTCCCTGTGCCTGTGTCTCCCCGAACCCATCACTGCAGTGGGAGAGGAAGGTTCAGAGGAATCCCAAATTTCTGGGGACGCAAACCAAGCTCTCAGAGTGGTCCTGTTCAGGTACACGTTCTCTGGGCTTGCGGGGGATATGTCTACCCACCCCGTCACCCGTGCTGGGGGTCCCCTTCTCAGCTCCAACCTTTGCCAAAGTCCTGTCTCTCCCCTCCACTCGCTCAGCTTGTCTTTCCCCCAGTGGGACAGCTGGGTGGCTGGTTCTCAGCCACCTTTGAAAACCTGCATCTCTTATCACCCCTCTTTGGAGTTGATAGCAAACTTCTTCGTATCTTCGCCAAAACATCAACTTAACACCTTGACACATCAAAATAAAAAAATTGTTTAAAGTATTTCCCAACAGCCCCCTGAAAGATGTCCTCACGTGTCTCATTGGCTAGAACACTGCCACGGGGCCACCCGTAGCTGCAAAGATGGCTAATCGAGTCAGAACCCAGCAAAGGGGGCCGAGAGCAATGTGAATATGGCCCAGACCATTCAGATTCATCCCCGGGCCCCACTGTGTTGCTGCCCTGACAGAGTGTGGGTTCTGGTGTTAGCAACAAAGCTGGAGGAGGTGGGGTGGGCACCGGGGGCTGAGGAATAAATTCACTGCTGTTGGCCACAACAGCCCTGACTGATTAGACCCTGCCCCCGAGAGGCCAACAATCCTTGGGAGAGCGGCAGGGCCAGAGGTGACAATTCAGAAATGACAAGCCTTGCCTCCATCCCTGCCTTCTGCATCGTCTGAGGGGCAATGCTGGTGGTCAGGAGACAGAGCAGCTGGTGTCAAGGCTGGCCAGTCACTTCCTAGCTCGGTGGCCTCAGGCAACTCATCACCTCCGAGTCTCACTTTCCACCTGACTGAGATGGGAATGAGCCTCACAGACCTTGCCCACCCATTCGTGGCCTGCCTCTGTTAACGATTAATTACGACTCTTAATTGCAAGTGGCAGAAATCACCTCATACGGGCTTAAGAAAAAAAAAATTTAAATTTAATTTATTGAACCATCTGGGGAGAGATGGCCACCAGGGTTCCAGGACCAGGGGTCAGACAGCATCATGAAACCTCCCACCCTACTCTGTGCTCCTGTGCTGACTCTGGTCTCACACACTCTCCTCCACACAAGTGTTCCCAACCACCCCGGACTTAGCTCCTCCAGCTCCATGGGGCCTGCAAAGAAGGAAGTGTCCACAAATGCTGATTCCACAAAAATTCCAGAGTGAAACATCTCATTGCACCAGGGAATGAAACACACTGGGTGGCCTGGCCTGGGTCATGTGCAAGGCCCCGGAACAAGGGTGAGCCGGTGATGTGGGCAAAGGGAAGAGACTGTCTTCCCTCAGCTACCATGTGAGCAAAGAGGGGAGAGGGTAGTTCCTGAGAAGAAAAGGCAGGCTATTGTTGCCAGTAGAGAGAAAAGCTGCCAAGCAGGGGCAGCAAAGAGGGAGAACCGTGCAGGGCAGCAGAGAAAACTCCCAGGAGGCAGGAGTGAGCCAGGGGTTCTGGGCCCCATTCTAGGACTCCGAGTGGTTGTCCACAGGATGGGACATATTTGAAACAAGCATGGTGGAGTGGGGGACAAGGCGGGAGCTTATGACCCGATATGGAAAGTTATTTCCTCCAATCTCCTCAAAAATAGGAAAGTAAGGCCAATGTAGTGGAACCAGAGAAAATCTATGATGCTGGTGTGGGGAGAACGCTTCCACACCTCACAGAGAGAGACCTGGGCTGACCAGGGTGGAATTTACATAACTGTGAGAAACACAGTCTTCCACATGCTTCTCAGAGTGGCCTTTATCCTGCTCTGGTCTCTCTCTCTGTTCCTAGGTGACAAGAGATGACACTTCCTCAGACGGGCCGATTCTTAAGGTTAATTGAAAGTGGCCTTTCTCTTGAATCATCCATTGCACTGAATTATTAATCACCTGCAGGCATTTGCAGGCCTTTAAACACTTGGACTTCCTGCAACCCTCCTTGGGAATGCTTTCACCAATTGAAATATGGCTTCCTTTTGGCCACGGCAAAGAGAAACCTTGTCTGCCACTGTTTCCAGATTTCCCAGCTCCCAGAGACCTAGGGAGGAGAAAGATCTGAAAACAGGAAGCAGGGCCACGGCTGCAGCTAGATCTGGAGGCCATTGTTATGTGAGCAGGCTCCAGGCCAGCAGGGCTCAGAGCCCCTGTGGGCCAGTGGAGAGAGGGGATACTGGCCATGGTGCCTGTGGCTTTTGGCCTAAGTTCACAGTCATCTCCACAGGAAGTAGTTTCCTGGGGCCTTGCTTGGGCCCCTCAGCTGGCCAGTGGGGGGAAAGGAATGAGGGGGTCCAGGAGCTGAGTCTAGCCTACCACTTACTGGGTAGTCCACGGAACCTCTTTGATGTGGTTTCCTCATCTGAAGCAGTGGCCCCAGCTCTGTAGGGCTGACACAATGGAGGCCTCAACAGGTCATGTACGCTGAGCCTGCATTGTGATGCCCAAAACATAAGAAGCAGCAAAAAGGTGAGCTTCTCCCCTGACACTTGCTCTCATCTTCCTGTGGAGGAACAAAGACTCAAAATTCAGAGGGCTGGGTGCACACATAAGGTGCTTCCAGGCCAAGCTAGCAATGTGAGTGCAGGACCCAGCAGCTGGTCTCCAGGGCAAGGGAAAGAGATCCTGGTGGGCCCTGAAGTGTGGGCCCAGGGTGTGTGCGATGCACGGATAACACTGGCAGAAACCAGAAGGCAGCTCATCCTGCGGGTGCAAGCCTTTCATCCACCATTCAGCACAGCTTGGCCCTGGAGGCAGATATTGGGACGCTGAACTGAATAAGGCATGGCTCCCTGCCTTCATGAGGTCCTGGTCTGCTGGGGAGAGTAGGGTGGGGTAATCATCACAGGCTCTGAGCACTGCAGAGGGATGGCAGTAGGGAGGCATCCAGGTGGGTGAGACCAGGGAGGGGAGCCTGGAAGACATAAGCTGAGGAGAGGGTTTAGGGATGAGTCTGAAGAACAGAGAGGAAGCTGGTGCAGTGCTCCAGGTTAGAGATGGCGGAGACCTGGGAGAAGGTTTTGGTGTTGATGGAGACGGACTGAGGAAGAAGAGCTGGCAGGAGCGAGCCAAGGCTTGGAGGTAGGTGGTGAGGAAAGGAAACAGATAGGAAGCCAGGAGGCCTTGGAAAAGCACAGCATGGGGCTGGGGGGAGGATGGGCAGCTCCGGACCTGGCCAGAGTGGCCACAATGCATTCGCTTTTCCAGAAGTACCCACTCACACAGGTTGGGGCCAATCATGGAGGTGGTTGGGTGTGGATGGGTGCCATGCCCTGTCAGGGGTAACCAGGCCAGGCGAAGCAGCTAGGAAGAGGCTCATGGCAACTGGAAAGTTACCATGCAAGGGGGTATGTGGGCTTTGCTAGCTGCCTGGTCCTAGCCTTTGGGCCCACTGAGAACTTTAAGCAGCAGGGGGAGAGAGAATGTAAACCATCCCTTCCCAGAGGGCTCCGTGGACACTCTGGCTCCAATGATGTCCATGTCCTCATTCTTGAAAGCTGGGAATGGGTTATCTTCCATGGCAAAGGGGGCTTTGCAGAGGCAATTAAGGTAAAGATCTTGAGATAGGATAATTATCCTGGATTATCAGGGTGGACCCCACAAAATCACGAAGGTCCTTATAAGATGGAGGCAGGGGGGTGCCTGGGTGGCTCAGTCGGTTAAGCGTCCGACTTCAGCTCAGGTCATGGTCTCGCGGTCCGTGGGTTCGAGCCCTGCGTTGGGCTCTGGGCTGATGGCTCAGAGCCTGGAGCCTGCTTCCAATTCTGTGTCTCCCTCTCTCTCTGACCCTCCCCCATTCATGCTCTGTCTCTCTCTGTCTCAAAAATAAATAAACGTTAAAAAAAAAAAAAGATGGAGGCAGGAAAGTTGATGTGAACATGACTTGGATTCAGAGAGATTAGAAAATGCTACTGCTGGTTTTGAAGATAAAGGAAGCAGCCACATATAGGCAGCCTCTAGAAGCTGGGAAAGGATGCGAAGTGGATTTGCCTCCAGCCTCCAGAAGGAATACAGCCCTGCAGACCCATTTCAGCCTTCTGACTTCAGACTGTAAGAGACTACATTTGTGCTTTTAGCCACTACATTTGTGGTCATCTGTTACAGCAGCAACAGGAAACTAACATTCAACTCAGAGGTGAGGGCAAAGATGAGGAGGTTTTGAGGCAGACCCAGACTCCATTTCCTGAGATATCATCAGCCCAGCAGAAGCAAAGGTCAGAGTCCCAGGTCTCCAGACACTCCAGCCAAAATGGTATGCAGGAGGGGGCAGGCTGGTGGAGGAAAATGCCCTGCCTCCACTAGGTTCCAGCAGACTCCAGCAGGCTTCCGGGGTGGAGTGGAGAGGCATGCCCTACTGGACACAGATGCAGGGACCCACCTTCTCACCAGACCCCGGAAAGAAAAGAGCCACTCTTCCCCCTGCCCCTGCGAGATGAGGGGGACGCAGGCTCACCTCACCATCCCGCCTCGCCTCGGGTCAAGCAGTGTTTGGGCAGGGTGGAACTGCACACTGACAGCCTGGTGGGCTGTCCCTCTTGTCTAGTCAGCCTCCTCCCTACCGGGATGGGCACAGATGCCAGGCTGGAGCAGGGCCCAGAGGGGGTCTTTGGTCAAAACCTTCAAGGCTGTAAAACAAGACCGACCCTCCCCCCACCCTCACCTCACCAACACACACATATTCATCTCAGTCCCCATCTCCAGACGCCCCCTCAAGGTCTCAGATGCTCCCACCAGAGCACCCCACAGGGACACTCCATGGGACGCCAAGAGGGTGCACGTCCTCCAATGGGACGCACGCCGGGTGGAAGCTGGCAGAGGACCGGAGCCTCCGGTCAAGGCTCTGGCTGCCTTCACTAGTCCCGACTGGCACTGCCCCCGCGGTCTGATAATAAGCATTTCAGTAAGAGGGGCTGCGGGTGTCCAGGGGATCCAGGCGACGTCACCCTGAGTCAATCACCATAGCGGTGGCTGGCACGCGCTGTGCACCACCCACTCCCCGCCCCCCCGCCCCACGCACCGTGGGGCCAAGTCACCTCCGTTCTAAGCCGTGTGTGCGTGCATACTTTGGAAGTTATTACTAACAGTGAGGACAGAGGCCCAAGCTGAGAAGTGTCCCCAGCGTCACAACTGGCTAGTGGGGAGCCGGGGTAGGAACCCAGGTGGTCCCGCTGCAGAACCCGGGCTGTCCAACGCCTCATTACTTTGTGTGCTGCCAGGGCGGACCCGTGAATTTCAGCCCCGCACCCCTCGCCCCCCATGGTCAGGCAGGCGCGGGGCCAGGGTTTCGCCGCTCGGAGAGTCCTGGAAGCCGGCGAGCCTCGGGAGCAGGGTGGGCGCAGGCCTTTGGGGTCGGGGGGGGGAGGCAGGGGGGCAGGGGAAGGAGAGGATGGGGGAGCCGGGAGGGCAGGGGGGGCAGCTCCCCAGCCTGCAGAGGGATCATGAGGAAGATGGTGCTCCTCTCAGACCCGCGTGTCATGTCCAGGGGCCGTGTGAAGGGCAGGTGAGCCTCCCTCAGGCAGCCCAAGGCGTTGGCGCTGCCCTCCCGGAGCGGGGCGCCCTCGCACCCCACCACGCGCCCAGCCAGCGCAGCCAAAGAGTCCTGCACTTTCCTGGCGCTCACCAGCGGCTCCCCCTTCGCCGGCGACCCGGGCCTGGCCGGGAGGCGGGCCAACCTCCGGGGGGCGGGCTCCCTTCCCCCGCCGACTGCCGCCAGGACCCGACGAGGGACCGCCCCCGCGCCCGCCGACGGCACCGCCGCGCTTTAAAAGCCTGTCCCGCGGCGCGTGGAGGCGCGGAGACCAGTGCGCCCCAGCCCCGGCAGCCCGCCGAGCAGTGTCATGGCGGGTAAGTGCCCCTTCCCCACCCGCGCCCCCAGGGCGGCGTCGGGGGCCCTCGGCCCCCAATTCCCCCCGCCCCCCCTGCCCCGCTGGGGCGCCGCCCGCACCTGCCTGTGGCTCCTAGCGCGGGAAGAGGTGGAGAGGGAGGCCCGCTCCTCGAGGACCTTTGGGGGTCAGGAAGGTGGGGGGGAGTGTCTCCTTCTCACCACTCCCCTCGTCCAGACCCCAGAGCCCCGGAAGCCCCGTGTCCTCACGTGACCCGAAGGAGGCCCCTTCTTTGTCAGAGGAAGGCAGCAGGCGCCTGGGAGCGAGCGTCCCAGAGACGGCGCTGAAACGGGAGTGGATCCTGCCAGGTCCCCGCAATTGTACGGGTGCAGGCAGCAAAGGGTACTTGTGTCTCCGTTTCTCACGCCCACTGCCCTTTTCTTCATCCACACTCCCGTCGTCTCCAGCGGACTCCCCTAAGAGGGTTCATCTTGATAGAGGGTTGAACAAGGGATTGGGTTGTAGAGACAGTTACAAAATTCAAACGTGAGTTCGGCCTCTCAGCAGGTTCCAGGACCCCAAAGGATAGGGCTGGGAATGCAAACCAGGACATCACCCCTTCCTGGGCTTTCCTTATGTACATGATGCCCACACTCAGGTTTGCTCTCAAGCCTGAATAGGAGTCCAGGGAAGATAAAGGTTCTGGTAAGAGCAGATTTAATTTCTACTCAGAAGCACAAGAAAATGGTTCATTTCAGCCAGAATCTCAAGTCCAGGGCCAGCTGCTTTCCAAAGGAACAGGAAGCCTGCTTCTGTGTCGCTCCTGGGGTCCAACTCAGGGCATGTGGTTGCTGCCCAAATCCTGCCCCCAACAGGTCCGTGGTGTGAAGGGGAGTGGCTTTCTCCAGGCATCACAGTCCTAGTGGTCTTTGCCCCCAGAGCAGGTGGCCCTGGTAATCGGGGGCCTCGCTGGGGGGCTGCTGCTGCTACTGCTATTGATCTGGGTGAGCTGCTGTCTCTGGAAGAGGCTTTGTGCCATGTTCACCTATGAGGAGCTGCCAGGGACCACAGCTGCGTCCAGCACACAAGGGGACAAGCTCTGCCCGCCATATGCCGCCAGGACCCAGACAAGCAGGTAAGGCAGGGTGTGGGGCCAAGCAAGCCCCTGGCCTTGCTTAGGGCCCTCCCTGTGGCATTGCCCTTGGAGTAGGGTGGGAAAGGAAAGGTCTGTTTATGGGGTGCCTCCTGTATGCAGTCATCATGCTGGGAGCGATCATGAAGAAACCCCAGAATTGTCACCACAAGCTATGAGGCAGGCATTATGAAGCTCGTTTTCCAGAATGAGCTTATTTCCTATAGGCTCAGAGGACATAAGTAACAGGTCCGGGGAACACAACCAGTAAGTGGCTGAGGCAGTGCTGGCCCCACTGGCTGCAGACAGGCAGAGGTATTGGCTGCGGGTGGGGGTGGGGGGCAGGCAGGGGCAGGTGTGGGCCCAGAAAATGGTGCTCTTGCCTCCTCCTGGCTCCTGCTGGCTTTTCCTCCCCCAGCCTCTGACACTCAACCCCTATGGGCTGTGGGAGCCACACCTTCCACCTGCCACCAACATGTCATCTTCCCGCCTCGGGACAGGCCACCAGGTGTGCCATTCGTGGTGCCCCCTTCCTTCCAAGACCGAGACTGGGTACCCCTGAACAGTGGAGAGTGGGCTCAGGTCCCACGGGACCCCTGCCCAGCCCCGGAGCTCCTGCCCCACACCTCCAGCAGCAACCTTGGTGAGTGCTCCCGCCAGAGCCTGCCTGGGGTCGGGGTCTGCTCTGGCCGGGGTGGAACCATTTGGTTTCATGGGCCTGACCCTGGAAAACAGCCTGGACCAGCAGCCTTCCAGTGATGCCCCCAATTACCAGGTCCACTTGTTCTGGGGGCAGAGACCACCAGGATTGTGGTGCCTGGGGAAAGCCCACACCACTGGCCTCCTGGGGGCAGAATTTAGGCAGCAGCCCCACCCCCTGGGTTGGACCCCAGGAGTGAAACAGAAGCAGGGGTGCTGCTGGCTGGGCTCTGCTGAGTCTCAGCAGTAAAGTCATCTCCCTTGGGATCCTAGTGCTCTGGGCAGAATCTTCTGGTTTCCCTTGGGAAGAGTGGCCCAGTGACCATTCTTTCCAGGTACTTGGGTTTACGAAATGCCTGCTGCACCCTAGCCTCTACCAGATATGGCCTCCTGTGCCATTGTGGAGTAAGACATCACCCTGCCTGTTTGGGGGGAGAGATCCTCACCCCATTTTGCACATTCATAAACAGAGGTTCGGAAGGCTAACAGTGCCTTGCCCAAGGTCACAGAGGCTGTAGGCAACAGAGGGATTGGAACCCTGGTATGCGGGTGCAGAACATTTGATGGGTTCTTTCCTAGACTGATTGGTTGGCTGATCCAGAGTTCAGAAAGGTGGGAGCTGGGTGCTCAGCTTTCTGCCCATACCTTTGCTCTGAACACCTTCCAAGATACCTTCCCAGGAACCACTCAGTTATCAGCGAGGCCCTTCTAATTTCAACAGGAATAGAAGAGGCAAAGTTTTATCACTGAGACATCCTCTGAACACCATGGACAGGGGCCAGGTCAGGTCCTGGGCACTATGAACCCCCTGCCCAACAAGCAGGCCCTGACCTAAGGGGCAGGGATTAAATGAACACTGTTCACCCTGCTGGGAGCCGCAGAGGGAAGCAGGCCTGGATATGCCCTGCCTTAGTGCTGGCAGGCTGCCTGAGGAGCTGTACTAGAGAGAGAGGTTGTGTTCAGTCTAGAGAAGGGCAGGGGGTGGATGTGGTCTGGAGAGGCCAGTGAACTGCCTACTGGAGGCTCAGCCAAGAAGAGACGAGCAGGGGGCAGGGGTGGTGAAGCCCAGAGCTCGCTGTCCCCCATGGCCCTGCCTTCCTCTGGCCTGGCAGACCACCCCGCCCCTGTGTCCTTGGAAATACAGGCATGGTGGGGACCATCAACCCAGAGCTATACAAGTTCCTAGAGGACACGAGTGAGACGGACTTCCCTGAGGGTTGCCTGGGGCGGCTGTGGTTCTCCTTGGAATACCAGCAGGAAGCCGAGCGGCTGTTGGTGGGCTTGATCAAGGCGCGGAGGCTGCAAGGCCCCTCAGAGACCTGCAGCCCCTTGGTGAAGCTTCATCTGCTGCCCGACGAGCGGCGCTTCCTCCAGTCCAAGACCAAACGCAAGACCTCCAACCCGCAGTTTGATGAGCACTTCATCTTCCAGGTAAGGCCTCTGGTGCAGACAGGGTCTGGCCTCCTGGGAAGGAGCAGACGTCGTGCAGGTGAGCTCCAGCCTTCTGTGCTAGCCAGGGCCCTGCAGCCCCCCCAAGACCCCTGATGCCACCAGCTGTGCTTTCCCCTGCCTGCCCTGTCCTGACCGCTGATGATGGGGGTAGGGCAGAGACTAGGGAGGTGAGGGGGTAGAGGGCTGGGCTCCTTCTGGCCAGGCTGCCTGGATGAGAGAACGAGAAAACACATTCTTGGAGCACCTACTGAATGCCTCGCTCTGGCCCATGGGGCTCTGGAGAAGTGCTCCAAGGCTTTGGAGCACTGTGAGGTTTCTGGCAAGGTTATCTAAAGAAGGCAGAGGGCAAGCCCCCCATGCCCCTTGGGGTGGGGGCAGGAACTTGCCTATCCTATCAGAGACCGGTGCAGGACCCTAGAGCCATCCTGCAGCAGGTGGTGCGTTTGCTGGCCTGTGGGCGGGCTGGCTCAGGGTCTGGAGGTGCGGAGGCTGTCTGGGCACTGAGCCAAGCTCACAGGTACCTGGGAGCCTGAGCAGGTGACTGGGGGCCCCTTATGGGAAACCAGCCATCAAGAGCTGCCTTGAAGCCTTGGGCAAACATTTTCAAGAGCGGACAGCAGGCTGGCTGGCAAGGTAAGGACAGTCCAGGCAGCATCCAGAAGAGGGTGATTGCTGAGCCAGAGCCCTGATTCTTGCCTTCTTCTGGGCTGAGAGCTGTAGCTGAGAGGAGGGGTGGCATGGGGCCCATCTCCCGGCCTCCTGCTGGGGGCCAAGGCTGTGGGAACTCACAGGTGACCTCGCCCTTCTCGGGGCATGAAGCCTTGTGACATGAAGGCATGTAGCCTTGCTGACTGGCCTGTCCACATGTCACGCTCACAAACTGATTTTTGTTTAACCATCACTCTCCTGCCCCATCCCAACTTGATTCTGCCTCTTTGTGCTTTAATGGGGGGGGGGGGAAGGAGAAGAGGAAGAGAAGCAAATCAGTATTAATTGACCATCTGCCAAACATCAGACCCCACGATTGCGTGGGGAACTCAAAGAGTAAGAACCACTATCCCCATTACAGATGAGGACACAGCCTCAGGGAGAGGGGTGCCCAACTCAGATGGCAGAGACGGGCAGGTTCCCTGGGCTCCGGTGTGAGACCTCCTATACATTTATGTGCAGGCAAATCACTTGGAGGTCCTGTTAAATGGTAGATTCCCTTCATGGGCCTGAGGTGGGGCCCAGGTCCTATATTTCTAGCAAAGTCCAAGCGAGTGGTGAACGCTGCTGGTCCTCGAAACACACCCTGCAAGGCAAGGCTGTGGCACACACTCCCGCTTCCCAGGGGTACTGGGCTCGCTGCTGGAAAGGGCCCCCTGAGGATGCCTGGGTTTGGGGTGTGCAGGTCCCTGGTTGAGTCACCTGTCACCAAAAGCTCCTGGGTCCAGAACAGCACGCCATCCTATCCCATCCCCTGTCTCCACACCTGACCCCAGCACAGACCCTCATCTCCCCCAGGTGTCCAGCAAGAGCATCACTCAAAGGGTACTCAGGTTCTCCGTGTACCACGTGGACAGACAGAGGAAGCACCAGCTCCTGGGCCAGGTGTTCTTCCCCCTGAAAAACGAGACCCTGGCAGGTGACTGCCGGCGCCTCATCTGGAGAGACCTGGAGGCTGAGAGCCTGGAGGTAAAGGTCAAGGTCACCAGGCATATACCACTGTGTGTCAGACTACCGTGGGCAGGTGTGACCCAGCACCTGTCGGCCAGCGACAGCCCTCAGCCTACTGCCCACTGCCCCTACCGGTGTGACTCAGGGTTCTGGGCCTGGGCCGCAAGTGCCTGGGACAAGGGGGCAGAGTGGAGCCGCTTCTGGGCAGGGAAGGGCCGCCTGAGGTTCTCTCGCCCTGGAGATCAGAGACTTGTAAAAAGTCCACACTTAAATTCCCACCCAGATCAGACAGCTGTGAAAGGTGACACCCCAAATGGTCCAACCGAGGAAAATATTTACCCTCTATCTTCCTGACCCCCGAGAGGATGGTGGCAGCTTGGAATAGGCTTTGGAATCCCCTAGACCTGGGTCTGTGTCCGAAGCTCTGCCCCTCACTACCGTGTGATCTTCAGCAAGTCCCTTCAGCTGGCCAGACCTCAGTTTCCCCACCCAAGCCCAAATGAGGGTGGGCTTAAAGGAGAAAAGTGCCACACAGTACCAGTGCCTGACTGCTGGGACCAAGGAGGAAGGCACTGCGGCTCCTCCGGCACCTGCTAACTGACCCGGCTGCCTTCCTCTTGGCCTCCCAGCCTCCCTCTGAGTTTGGAGACCTGCAGTTCTGCCTCGGCTACAACGACTGCCTGCGCCGCCTGACCGTGGTCGTGCTTCGAGCCAAGGGCCTCCAGCTCCAGGAGGACACGAGTTTTGTCAGTAAGTTCTTCTCCCCCGGGCAGGTTCTGTCCTGTGAACTTGGGGCCGGGAGCTGGAGTCTGCCCCTTGCCCCTGGCCATGCAATTCCTGCCTGTGTCTGAGCCACCACAGGAGTGCTCACCACCCTCTGTGGACAACTGTGATGTGGGAAACCACTTCCTTAGATTGAACCCACCTTAGATTGATCCCGCCTCTACCTCTGCCCTTCTGTGAAGGACTCCAGTTCCTCCAGGGCCAGACCCCGCGTCCCCTTGCCCCCACGGAGGGTTCCCCTGCACACAAGGCATGGCACCCGACTGGAAGAAGAGGCATCCCGGGCCGACAGGCAGCATGGGGTGCTGCTTCCTCTAGCCCCCCAGAACCCAGCAGCTGGAGGAGCGAAGGCCCTGCTCTGGCTCAGCATAATGTCCTGCCCTTATGTGTCCCCCCCCCCCCCCCCCCCCCCCCAGCAAGGTGGTGGCTGTCTGCCATTTGTGTGTCTCCGCATCTGGGTCACTGTAAGCAAGTTGTCATTCAACCTTCCACTGTGGATCCAAAACCCATATGAGCCCCACTCCAAAAATTCAGCCCTCTGAAGCAGAAGGTGTTTAAGGGGCCCCAGGGAGCCTGAGCAGTCAGCAGGCAGAGAGGGCCCCCCTCCACCAAAAGGAGGGATGGGCGTGTGGTGCCAGGCCCCGGTAAACAAGGGCCAGCCGAGCCGTGGGCGCATTCAGGAGGCACAGAGGAAGGAAGAGGAAGGGAGCCCAGCGTTTCCTCTGGCGTGAGGCCATACGCTAATCAACCCTGTTTCCTCTCGTAACGCCCTCTGGCTATAGTGGCTGTGAGCAACGGGGGTCCTGGCGCCCAGGGTGGGCCGCGCCCTCCCAGCCAGACCTCCCACAGGCCAGAGGCTGGGCCCCCGCCCGCTCCTCCCGGCCCACGGTCTGCACTGCCCCGCAGGTGTGTGTGTCAAAGTGTCTCTGATGAACCACAACAAGTTTGTCAAGTGCAAGAAGACTTCGGCTGTCCTGGGCTCCGCCAACCCCGTGTACAGCGAGACTTTCAGCTTCAAGGCCGACCCCGCTGAGCTGGACACTGCCAGCCTCAGCCTGACCGTGCTGCAGGGTGCCGAAGGAGAGAGTAAGGCTGCCCCCGCACCCCGGCCGGGCTGTTGGGGACACGGGCAAAGGAGGAGCGTTCAGGCAGCGTGAAGGTGATGGAAGAGGGCTTCTTTCCGGAGCGACCCCTTTCTCCCTCAGCTCTTTGGCGTGAGGCTGGCTTAAGATGTCTCATGAGGAGGGTGAGAGGCAGAGAAGGTGACCCCATAGGGCTGGCTCTCCACCTGGGCTCCCTTTTCCATCTCCGACTCCAGAGCAAAGGCAGGGTCCTTTGGGGGCTGTCAGCTCTTGCTTAGAGAGGGAGGGGGCTTGCTCCACCCTTCCAAAGGAGGAGTAAGTGAGAAAGAGAGAAGGCACGGGGGATGTTGCTGAAGTGATGTGGTTTCTGTGGTCCAGAGAGTGAAGACGTTTTCCCTCCCCCGCAGAGAGCCACGCGCTGGGCCGGGTGGTGGTGGGCCCCTACATGTATGCCCGGGGCAAGCAGCTGGAGCACTGGAACGAGATGTTCAGCAAGCCCAAGGAGCTGGTGAAGCGCTGGCATGCCCTCTGTCGCACCACTGAGCCCTGACCCGGCTCACGCCCTCGGGTCTGCGGGGGGGGGGGGGGGGGGGGGGGGGGGGGGGGCCTGCTCTCCTCTCCCCTGTGGCAGCCGCAGGCCTGGATGCTCCAGCCAGCATCTTGCTGGGCTGCCAGGCCGGCCGGAGCCAGGGCACTGTGAGTGCCACCACGCAGGAGAGAAGGGACGAGGGAGCCCCAGCCAGCTCGGCAGCGTGGCTGGCTGCCACCCACCAGCCTCAGGTACCCTCCCGACTCACTCCATCCTCCTCTCCCCGTGGGGCTGCCTGGGCTCCGAATCCCAGGCACCACAGTCCCGATATGGACCGGAATCTCAGGCATTCAGAAGAAATACTCTATTCAGCGATAGCAGAGCTCTGTGTGCTCAATGGAAACTTAGGCTGCACCATCCTGGAAAGCTGATGGCATATTGATGCTAAACCTATATGGGCTCTGGTTTCCCTGCCTTCCGCTGAGCAGAGAACACAGACTGTGCCGGGGGAATAATGGGGTGCAGGGGGCGCCCAAAGCACTGATTTCAGTTGGTCCACAATAAATAGCACAGTCTCAGAGTTGGGTTGGGCACTTTGGTGTGGAACAGCCCCAGGATTCCTGGGCAGCACGGCGTGCCCACAGCTCAGGAGAGAAGGCTCTCAGGGATCAAGACTCGCTGGCTTTAGGACCTGGGAAATAACATTGGGAACAGCCCACCCAGGTACCAAGTGGTGGACGTGTTCTCGGCATCCTGTCCCTGTGCCAGGGAGGAGGCCTTCACCTGTGTTAGGTCCCTCCCAGGGCTGGGTCAGACCCTGGCCCACATCATGCCACATCTTGCCCATAATCCAAGCCTCACGCCCCTGGTCTTACAGGTGTTCTAGTGGCTTCTGTGGTCTCCCTGGTTGACAGCATTCAGCTCCTTGGGGCTCTCACTTTAGGCAGGAAATGGTGAAAGCATGTGGTCAAAAGCGTAGCCCGCAGGGCTGAGAGCTTTTCCCATAAACCTAAGTGATTTCATTATGGGGACTGTGTTGTGGCAGGTGTCTATGTGAAGTTCATTAAAATGGAAGTCCCCACAAACCACAGTCATCCGATCCCCGTGAAGTTGTACTCAAGGTAATGAGCAGCCATCGCGTCTGTCTCTGTTAACAGGCAACCTGCTTTTTCACCCAAATGCTGTTGAACTTGGGGGTCAACACACCGTATTGTGAAAATGGAACAAACTTTAAACCTGTGTTGTCTCTTTTCTTATGCAGTGAAGCAACTTCAGCAAAAGAAAGTAGCCATCATTATTCTCTGTTTGTGCCTCTTTAACTTCGCTTCCGATCTGATCTCTGTCAATGCATAAAGACTCATTTTACCTGGCAGTGGTCCAAACAGAATATCTTGTTTACTTTTTCTCATTTATTGTACACACACATTCCAACAAAGCCCACACTCCTGTAATTTCTTTGTTTTTAGTTTTTTTTTTATGTTTTATTTTATTTTTGAGACAGTACAAGTGGGGGAGGCTCAGAGAGAGGGGGACAAAGGATCTGAAGTGGGCTCTACACTGACTGCAGGACTGCAGCAAGCCCGATGTGGGGCTGGAACTCAGGTACTGCGAGATCATGGCCTGAGCTGAAGTTAGATGCTCAACTGACTGAGCCACCCAGGCGCCCCTCCAGTAATTTCTAATAACATCATAGCACACACGTGATAGGGGTTCTCTATATGTTTGGATAGCAGGCTGCTAAACTGGGACTATTTCCATTTCACCTGGGGTCCTGAGACAAGAGGTGCCAGCCACCCTACCTTTCAAGGTGACGTTCACGCCTATCAGTGGCCTTTCCAGGGCCACTTGGAAAAGTTGTTAAGTATCCCCTTTGCAGGACAGAGTGAACTGGTGCAACTGACTCACAACTGAACATTCTCAATGGCAAGAGATTGGCAGGCTCTCTGGTCTGATGGGGAAGAAGAAGGGATTGCTGTATTGGGCTGGAATGTCTACAGACATGGTCAGGGCAAAAAACACACAAGTGCTTCCACTGGACGAGCGAGAGGTGACCTGAGTTGTCTCAATCCTGTCCTCCAGGTGATCCCTGCAGAATGAAGAAGGCCTTTGCATTTCCACAAAGCATTGTAGAATCAGCTTGTCAGTTTCCACACCAAAGAAATGCTAGAGTTTGACTGATTTCCATGGAGTATACAGACCAGTTTGGGACCATTTTTTATCCCTACAATACTGAATCTTCAATCCATTAACATGGTATATCCCTCCGTTTCTTTTGGTCTTTTGCAAGTTTTCTTAAAACCATTTTGTGGTTTTCAGGAAAGTATTTTTGCGCATCTTTCGCTAGATTCTTAGATGTTTTATATTTATGTTTGCTGGTATGTAGAGATTCTATTAACTTTACTATGTGGACTGTTTCTATTGAGTGGTTTTACTAAAATAACTTAAATTGTGCTCACTTCGGCAGCACATATACTAAAATAACTTAAATTGTAATACTTGGTAGATTCTTTGTATTTTCTTTGCATATAGCTATGACCTCTGCAAACGACAGTTGTGTTTCTTCCTTCACAGTCGTTATGGCTTCTTTGTCTTGTCAAACTGCAGTGATTGGGCAACTGGGCAAGAAAAAGAAACAAAACCAACCAGATTGTAAAGGAAGAAGTAAAACTATATTTGCAGATGACATGGTCTTGTCTATAGGGAATGCTAAGGAATTGTCAAAAACTGTTAGAGCTAATAAACGAGCTCAGCAAGGTTACAGGGTACAAGATGGAAACCCAAATTGCACTGGCTGGGACCTCCAGAGAGTGCTGGCTGCCAGTAGGGAGAGCATGCAGGTAGCCTTCTTAGTCTTAGGGGGGAAGCTTTCAATATTCACTACTACGTGGAATATTTGCTATTGGACCTTTAACCTACTCATGATTATGTGTCCTCAATTTGTTAAGTTTTTTTTATGGGGCACCTAAGTGGCTCAGTCGGTTAAGCATCTGACTCTTGATCTTGGCTCAGGTCATGATCTCATGGTTCATGGGATTGAGCCCTTGTCAGGCTCTGTGCACTGAGCTTGGAGCCTGCTTAGGATTCCCTCTCTCCCTCTGCTCCTCCCCCGTGATCTCTCTCTCAAAATAAATAAATAAATAAAAATGTTTTTAAGTTTTTTTTATCATAGCGTTGTTTTATCAAATACTTTCTCTGCGTCTTTTCAGTTAATCATATTTTTCTCCTTTTTTTTAATGTGATGAATTGTACTGATTTCTGAATGTCAAACCAGGGGCACCTTGGTGGCTCAGCTGGTTAAGCAACCAACTTCAGCTCAGGTCACAATCTCGTGGTCCATGAGTTTGAGCCCCAAGTCAGGCTCTGTAATGATAGCTCAGAGCCTGGAGCCTGCTTCAGATTCTGTGTCTCCCTCTCTTTCTCTCTCTCTGCCCCTCCCCTCCTTGCACTGTGTCTTTCTCTCTCTCAAAAATAAACATTAAAAAAAATTGAATTTCAAACCAAACTTACATTCTTGTAATAGAAGCCAGTGGTGTTTGTGTTCCTCTGTCTGTCTGTATGTCTGTGTGGACACACACACACACACACACACACACACACACACGGTAGTACTTGGACTTATTTCTTTAAAATCTAGATTTATTTGCTATTATGTTTTTAATTACTTTTTAATATCCTTACATACCAACATCATTTTTTAAATTATTTTTTTTAGGACTTTACATTTTTAGAGCAGTTTTAGGTTCACAGCGAAATTGAGGGGAAAATACAGAGATTTTTTTCATACACATCCATAGCCTCCTCCCATTATCGCCATCCCTCACTAGAGTGGTACCTTTGTTACAACTGATGAACCTATATTGATACATCATAATCACCTAAGAAACACAGTTCACATCACGGTTTACTCTTGATGATGCACATTCTATGGGTATGGACAATGTCTGGTGACATGTTATTACATTTTTAAGTGTTCTTGCAGTTATGTTCATAAGAGATTTTTCTATAATTTTTTTTTATTGCAATATCCTCGCGCTTGAAACAAATCTGTATTCTGTGTGAGCAGGTGTTCTGTGTTATTCTTAGGTCAAGTTTATGAATCAGATTGGTCAAATCATCTATTTTTACTGATTTGGGGGGAGGAAGGTATATTTTCTATTCATGATGGAGAGAGGTTAAAGTCTCCCACTGTGATTGTGGATTTGTTTGTTTCTTCTTTTAGTTTTATCAATTTTTGTTTTGTATATTTTGAGGCTGTGTTATTAGGCTCGTATTCATTTTCAGTTGTTTTTTCTGGTGGATTAGGCCATGTATTATTGTGAAACAGCTCTAACACTCCATTTTTCCCCATATTTTTCAACTTTCTTATGTTCTCATAATTATCTCTTGAATATAATCAAGTCTATCAACCTCTGTCTTTTGTGTATTTAGCTCATTTACATGTAATTACTGCTATTTATTCCCATTTGTCCTGTTTTGTTTTCTCTCCTTTGTTGCCTTCTTTTGTATTAATTCATATTGTAACTGCATTTTTTTTAATCTTAAAGTTTATTTACATATTTTGATGGGGGGGAGGGCCAGAGTGAGAGGGAGAAAGAGAGAGAGAGAGAGAGAGAGAGAGAATCCCAAGCAGGCTTCTCACTGTCAGCACAGAGCCCAATGAGGGGCTCAATCTCATGAACCATGAGATCATGACCTGAGCCAAAATCAAGAGTTGGACACTTAACCCACTGAGCCACCCAGGTGCTCCTGCATTAATTCATTTTTTAATCCTGCCACTTCTCATCTGTATGTCGCTACTTACACAGTTTATTATTCCTTTAGTGGTTCCCCTAGAGATTACAACTTGTATCTATTGTATATTATAGTCTAAGACAAATCTTACCTTTTAATCACTTCCCAGATAATGTTCTGATCTTAGAAAACTCAATCTCTATTTCCCCCTGTTTTTTAATGGTATTGATATGATTCATTTTAATTCCACATATATTTTACACCTAGCAAGACATTACTATTATTGCTAT